GTATTATATTAAATGTATGTGAGATTGATATAGAGGTGAAGTGAGTATCTAATATATCATTATATGTTATGTTGTGACTTGTGAATAAAGAAAAACTTTTATTAGTTTTGAGGTCAGGTGTCAATATAAGTTTTGAAGGAATTGAAGGAAAGTTTTATAGCATTGTAGCCCTTATTGTCATAATATGGCAAGTTTCGTAGGGAGGAGCAATTGAAGGAAAGTTCCAATCACATCTTTGTTGATAACTCGCAGTGGAGCCGTTCGAAGATGATTATCGTAGGAAGGTGCAATCGAAGGAAAGTTCCACATGTTCGCTGATATCTCGTTTCCTTCTTGCGTTGAGAGTTGCGGATGAAAGCCACAGTCTCACAAATAGAGTCGCCCAAATAAATGAATCATTATCCAACCCGTTTGAAATATTGAGGAAGTCCATTTTGATGACATGGCTGATGAAGTGTCAAAAAAATCCCAGTCAGCATGCCAAATGTCGCGATTCTAAGAGTTCAACTCTCCTTTTTTATATATAAAGGATATAAAGGATAGTCGAGTCATATCATAATATATAAAATTTTAAAGGATTATATTGTTTATAACTAAAAAGAAATTTTTATACAATCCTTTTTTAATTATGAAATATTATAAAAGGTTAAGTGAAATTGTAACAAAAATGACTCTAGCTTGGTTGGTAAGGAACTCATCTAATTGACTAAGAAATATTGGGTTCAAATCTCATGGTGGTATGCTTTTGGAAAAAAACTGGAAAAAAAAACTGGTCCGACCGGTTCGACCGACTGATTTGTCTAAAAGGGTGACACATCAGCTCTGTCACATGTCGCGCTTTAGCTCTGCCAAATGTCACGTATAAAAGGTTAAGTGAAATTGTAACAAAAATGACTCTAGCTTGGTTGGTAAGGAACTCATCTAATTGACTAAGAGATCTTGGGTTCAAATCTCATGGTGGTATGCTTTTGGAAAAAAACTTCAAAAAAAAAAAAATTGGTCCGACCGGTTCGACCGACTGATTTGTCTAAAAGGGTGACACATCAGCTCTGCCACATGTCGCGCTTTAGCTCTGCTTAATGTCACGTTCTTGTAGCTCGGAGTCTCCTTTATATATATAAAGGATATTACTTTGGTGGTTGTTAGTTGCTTTGAGATGTTTGTCTATTTTCATTGCGTCTCTTTTAGTTTTATTGGTTGTGAACTAATTACGATGGCTGATAC